GTTTGATATTATAATTAAATATACGGTGGTCTCTTTTTATTCGCGATAGAAATTGCCTTTGTTTGTTTAAATTGTTGTGATTAAATTTGAGTAAAATATTACCACTAATTTGTAAATTACAAACGCTACAAAATTATAACTGATTCTGAATGCTTTAATGAACCCTTTTTATCTACATAAAATGTTAGATAAGAAATATTTTTAATGATATAAAATCAATTTAGGGATTGCAAATAAAAAAAGAAATATTTTCTGATGCAAAAGTATTGAGGGCATTTTAGATAATGTTCGATGCTTTAACGAAAGTGCCTTTAAATAGAAATAGTAGATTAGCGATAGTTTAAACATGGAATAACGGAAACCCAGTACATTAATTATGCTAGACCTCCGTATACTGTGAACAAACTATATGTGGAATCGGCAATTGATATTTCGTCCTTTGTGCCATTGTTGTAAATCCCAGATATATATTAGGTACTTCCCCAGTCGTATTAGATGGAAACTGGAGAGATGTTACTTTATTCCTGTATTCACATAGATCATTGTTTTTTCGTTCACTGTATCAGTGTCTATTGTACATTTTAAAAGGATAAACTTTTGATTAATTGTCGAATTAATGAAATTGCTTTTTTATTTAATCCTAAATGATTAATTATGTGCAGAATGAATGTCAAAAATTGATATTAGAACCGAGGAATCGCAAATAATCAAAATTATGAAGTTCTTGTTTATTTACGGAAACATAAAAAGTTAATAAACAATGTTATCGATAAAAACATTACTGAGACGTAAAATATACATATTTCAAAAATTAATTCATTAAAAAGTTTGTACGATATTTACATTATTTCCCATTGAGGCAAAGTTCTTTCCATAAATGCTATCTCCCTTAAAGAAACATCCCCCATTTTTCGTTTGGGTGCAAGAAACGTATGGATTGTCGTTGGGTATTTTAACTGCTGAAGGATCCGACTTATCGGGATAATAAGTGAAGAACACATCCCAAGGATTTCTCCCACATAATTTTTTATATTCGCTAATTTTTAGTACGAGCTTTTCGTGGTCGTTATCAGTATGGCAAATAAATTTATTATTGAATACAACAACTGATATGCCGGCGTTCGCGGAATTTGCGATACAAATGTTATCATTTCCAAGAGCATATGTTCGACTATAACAATAATCTTCCTTGTCTTTTATAGAAAATAGTTTTTTCGAAGCGCACATTGGAGCATCATCTATTTTATCGGCTGTACATATGTATATTTCGCCATTTTTGACCAGCAGTTTGGTAGCTGCAAATAAAGTTTTTCTTAATCATTCAAACAAAAAAAACTAATACCAATTTGCAGAGGATATTTTTAAGATGCTTTTTGTTCTATGCTAATTTCCTCATGAGATTATTTTGTTACCAAAGAATGTAGAAAGAAATCCTTATTGTGAGATTTCGATGTTTACCAATCAAATTTGTACTTGTCCAGTATTTTTTTATTACTAGACATTACGTAGGAACATTTGAAAAGTGTTGAATTTAGAAATTTATTGAAATATCTGCTTTGGCGCGCTGACAATCAAATTTTATCATGGGACGGAAGTTGCGCGCGCAACTGTCAACTGTTAACTATAATGATAGATATTTCTTATATATGATACATAATCATATTATTGGCCAAATAAATACGTAAATAGAAGTGAAGAAGCGCACATGAGTATTGCACGCCTCTTTTTAATATTGTATCAGAAAATCAATCTATTAAAACTGGTTGAAAAGATTATTTTAATTAAATATTTTAAATACATATTGTGATTAAACTTACGTTTAGGAGAAGTGTAGACGATGACGGTTGTTCCACCGACTCCTCTGGTCATTTTTGACATTATCTCCAAAGCACGGACGGGTTCCAATTTCTCATTTACCTCTGCCTGTATCGACGCTTGTAAGTTTTTCAAAGGGCTCAAATGGCGTTGCACCTCCGCAGCGATTCGTTGTCCTAGGTCAAACTTATTACGTTTAAATGGAAAAGAATCAGTGAATCGGAATGGATGTGTAAAATCCTGTTCATTTTCAAATTCCTTTTCCATAAAATCTTCGAATGAGTCGTCTGAAACGGGGAAGGAAAACCGATTTCCTTTTTGTTTGTATACATATATTTACAAAAAGATGCCAGAAATAATTCTTTACAATAATTTAATTTAGGTGTTTACCGAAATCCTCAATGGAACCAGTTGCCTGAACGGAATAAAGTAAAAATGCAATCCATGTAAAATAGGAAATTATCCCCATTTTTGTTGTTCAAAATCTGCAAATAAAAATTTTATTTAGTATATTTATTTTGTTATAAAAATAAATTGTAAATATTTTCAGGTGTATATTTAACATTCAAAATAAAAAGTTATAGACATAAGCACAAACTGTTGCTGTACGTTTGGATACGACTAGTTTAAAACGTTAAAACAATCAACTTTATGTTAATATTAACATGCATATACAAATGTGATAATTTTACTCATCTGCTGTCTTTGTTAGGTACTGCAGCGGAATATTTAACTAAAATAGGAATATGACGTGATTTAATAAAAAAAAAGTCCGCTGTTAATCGCTCAGATTTTTTACATTTATTACAGTTTAAAAATAGAATACTTTTCGTGTGGAAAGTTTTTAATACATTGTGTTTGATATTGATAAGTATTGCACCGGCATATCGGTTGGAGCTATTAAATACAATACACGTGAATATCGAAGCTTCTAGTATACTTGTTTTTTGGGTATTTAAAATATAAGATGGGGAAATGAAACCTGTATCATTGGAATGTGTACAAAATAAAAATCATTCATAAGTACCTTGTTTTACATATATGAATGTAATTCTTTCGTGTGGTCTTCGATGCGATGATTTTGGACACGTATTTAAAGCGGCGGATAAAATATATCATGAAATTTTTTACACACATTATTAGGGATACAGAAAAGGACATAGGGTACTTTTTATCCAGAAAAAGGATACTCTGTAAAATTAGTTTTATGTGGTCGTAGATGATCAACGCGAGCGAAGCCGCGGGTAAAACCTAATACCTATTAAAAATTAAACGGAAAACTCACCCCTAATCACCACAAAAAACTTTATTTGAGCGGACACGTGTTTCGCCCACTTCATACGTGAACATTATCAGTCTCGCGTTGATAATGGCGACGTTTGAAGTGGGCGAAACACGTGTCTGCTCAAATTAAGTTTTTTGTGGTGATTAGGGGATGTCTTCCTCTTAATTTTTAATTAATATTTACCACTTTTCTCTTCTTTCTACTTCTAATACCTATTAATATAATTTTCAGATTCATACCAGACGTTAACTTCTATAAACAAAATAATGTTTATAATGTATTGTATAAGTGTTGCATAACTTTTTACGGTTATTAAAATGTCTGCCTGTGATTATTATTTATAGTTAAAATAAATGGTAATTGCCACGTCAAGTTAAAGTTATCCTATCAGTAAACTGTGCGACTGAATTTATTTAAGTATTTAAGTTATTATCATGTATAATAGTTTAGAAATCAAAAAGTTCTCATAAACGTTTGTTTTATTACGGCCACTTTAAATTTAACAATAAGATTATTGTAAAGCTCAAATATTCATTAATTGCTNAAGAACAAGTAGGGAAAGAGTAAATATAAAGATAAGAGACGAAAAATTAGAAGAAGTGGTGGTTTTAGGTATCTAGGAAGTCAGTTAAGCAAGGACGGAAGCTAATAAAAGTTTTGTATAGTTAAAATAAATGGTAATTGCCACGTCAAGTTAAAGTTATCCTATCAGTAAACTGTGCGACTGAATTTATTTAAGTATTTAAGTTATTATCATGTATAATAGTTTAGAAATCAAAAAGTTCTCATAAACGTTTGTTTTATTACGGCCACTTTAAATTTAACAATAAGATTATTGTAAAGCTCAAATATTCATTAATTGCTAATAAAAAATGATTAATAATAACAATTAATGAAATGACATTAAAAAAAATCAGATAATTATTTGACAGTACTAAGCATCTTTAACAATATAAATCATACAAATAAAGCTTAGCAAAATGTTTAACGTGCCTGGTCTAATTAGTGTAAAAAGTTAATTAATGTACATGTATCTTATTATCGTACATATTATAATAAGTGATGCTAAGGCGTTTGAAGTATGAACTGCCAAGGTTTCAGGATACTGTGAATAGCCATTACATCATATTTTAATTAAAAAACAGAGCAAAGAAGTAATCCAATAAATTAAACTGCGATGAGTTTTTTATTGCATGCTTCGACCTGGTATTAATCATCGAACGAATATAAAATTGACCTTTGAGGTAATTGACAGATTATTACGACAGATTAAACTAAATTATGCATTTCGAATTATTTATGTTACGATTTGGCTGATGATAACTTATGGGAATTCCAACTTATTTTAATATAAAGGACGTGATCGATGTTTTGGTGTATCCGAATAAGGTCATTAATAATATATGTATTTATCGATATTTTCAAACAACTTAAAGTAATTCCATGACGCATTTGCAAAAAGAAATACATAAAATTATAATGATAAATACTGCAAAACAAAGTAGGTTATTAATCTTCCCCGAGAAGATAAAACAAATAAAATTTTTGGTTTTTTGGTTTACGAAAAACTGACAAAATGAAATACAAAAGTATTTAAGAGGTACTTACTGATTGTCGTAAATTTCTACTATAAAGAATGATCAATAAAATTAGTGTACATTAAACAAAACTCACAATTTTTATACTTAGTACGTTTCTCTTTCCTTTTTTATTGAAGTGTGACTCCAATTGGAAAAAGTTATTCGGAATGCCACAGTATGGGGCTGTACAAAAAAACGCGGCGATATTCAAATGTTTTGTTTTTTCAAGTCAAATTACTTGAACGGAATCAAAAAACGTTTGAATATCGCCGCGATTGTTTGCATAGCCCCAAATTTTGGAATTCTGGACAACTTTTTCCAATAACTTTTTTCGAATGGACTTAAACGTAATCTAATTTCTTCTATTTTCGAACATTCTGCACAGTAAATTAAATTTCGATGACACAATCTTGTATTAAAAATTTTTCGATTAAATTTATAGTTTGTAAACAATGAGCATATTGCGTACTTTTTGGGCCACCTTGTAAATGTATATTTAATAGAAGTTATTGTTAAAATTTATTTCGGCTACGGTAAGTATTGCAGCTACCTACTACTACATTTTGTTATAATTTTTGTAAAAAGACAGAAAGTACATAACTAATATTCAAACTACTTCAAGATAACGTTGTTTACAATTGACTGCAAACTGCACATAGGTGGTAACTACAGCAAAATTCCGCACTGCACGTCAAAATTAAATTTACCGTGATCAAACTAAATGTACGACGTTGTTCAATTTTAAGCGTTTTGCGAGCAACGTTTCTGCGTTATTTATTTAATGTATGGCTTTGAACTTGATGGCTAACTTGGCTTACCTTGGATGATTGATTACGAAATTAACCGAAAAGAAATAAAATTAATTCAACACTCAGCCGATGAATCGATTCAATTTAAGCATTCGGTCAAACTACACAACATAGAATGAGAAACTTCTTTATTTATTGTGCTTCAATAGCAAACCCGTCGTTCACGTTTCAAAATTACTCATTTACGCTGGTGGGCTGCAGTTAATAGCTCGCAACACATATGTGTTCAATACAGATTTCCTTTGAAGACATATATATTTATATATATGTTAAAAGAAATATTTTTTTTAAGGACGATATGATTCAGTTACTAGAATTCGACATTCGTTTTGGATTTGCTGATAACATAAACGTGATGACGGCTGTTTTTTTTCAATTTTTTCGCAAAAATACCAAGCACTTATGTTTTTATGCTAATTTAACATTTCCCCTTCCTCGGTAATTACGTGTTTATATGTATATATCAACAACGGAACACATTTTCTATACCAACAAAGTTAATTGGATTAAATGAATGCTCAATTTTGTTTTGTTTTCTTTTTTAAATTGGATTCATTCGTGTTACAGTTTAATTTATTCTATTATTCTTGGATACTATAACAATAACTAACGTGGAAACTTGTTTAAAATACAGATACATGTGCAATATTGACCTATACATTAGAAACAGTTAGTATTCCAAAATATTTATAGGCATGGAATCTCGTTTTTCGTGTTACAAAAGGCTAGATTTATGAAGAACCAAAACTATAGGTATTTTGAGGGTGATTTTTAGTGATATTTGTGGAAGATGCTCTCTTTTATATATATTACTGCCCAGCACATGATTTCTAGAAGTTTACGTTAATTTATAAAACAATTAGGCAGATTATTCAAGATTTTGTAATTTTTAGAAAATCGCGACTCAGAATTACGACTAGGGTTGCCATCCGTACTTTATTATAAAGTATTGTACTCTATTTCGACTGTGCGTACGTTATACTTTACAAGACACATAAAGTACGCAAAAATACTTTATTTAAGGCCTTAAGTAAACATCGTAATTTTGTAAGCGATTATTCGAAATTCAGAGTATTTTTACATCAATAATATTGCACAGAAAAATGGCAAGCCATATTTACGGAACAACCTGATTTCCCAAATCTGTTCAAAGTAGTGTCACTTTTGCTGTCCGTTCCGGCCACTTCAGCATTTACAGAAAGAGTATTCTCTGTTATGAACGCAAAGTGGCGGGACGACAGGAATAAAGCTTCATTAAAACTAATTAAAAATGAACTTTTAGTTTACTTAAATCTTTGTTTGCCATGTTTAGAGGCTATTAATGTATTTAAGAGCGACAGCAATTTGTTACTGGCTGCTAGGTGTAACAAAAAATATGTTTTTAAAAACAAAAAATAAAATACTTTATTTTTATGCTGAGTACTTTTTTTTTGAACCATTTAGTCGAGAAATACTTTAGTAAAGCCTGAAAAGGTGACAACCCTAATTACGACCTTTTGGCACTTTTTGAGGTATATATGTATCCCCATAATTTTATTAATGGTATACTTACTGTCTACAGTTTTTAACCACCCCATGTCATCGTTAGAACGAGGCACTAAATGTACGTTTATATATCCCTCTTTAATAGGATTGCAACTCTAATTCTTAGGTTCAAAAGCTATCTTTGACAATTTTAATTATCAAAACAAGTACAATTCTTAAGCTTCAGAATATATTTATTTTTCCATGTAGTCACCGTTAAGATTAACTGATTTTTGTCAACGTGTAACAATTTTTTTTATTCGGTCACTGAATAATTCTTTCTACTTTCCTCGATTCTGGACTTATTATCCCTGAGATCTCTTGAATAGAAGAAAAAAAGGCGTAGGGTCCAGGACCGGAGGACTAAAGGTGTGAAATTTGTTCAAACTTCACGTGAACTCAATTCCCTCGATTTTTATTATTTTTTTTTCCGAAATAATAATTACACCTCGGACTATGAGGTGAAAGCAGCTATCAAGTCCTGGATTCCAGAAAAGTTCCAATGTCCCAGACGTTGACTTACGTATCATGGTAGTGTCTTATTGACGATCTTTGGTGATGATGATGATGATAATGTTAATTAAAAATTTATTCTCTGAAGTGTGTTCAAAAAAGTTAAATGTATTCCAGATTTATAATCTTAATAGGATACAAAAAAAATCAGGTAATAATGTCCTTACGATTAGATATCTTTAAATCTTCTTCTTATTATACGTGCTTGCAAAATTAATGTTTATTTCAGAAGATAAGTTATCGTTTTTCGTAAGTGCTTATTTATTAGAAATATCTTGATTAGTGAGTTCAATTATTGCTTATAGGTCGGTTAAAGTTTGGTGAATATTTTTCCTAACACAAAATAAATACCAAAAAATAATTTTCAGTTGTAACAGGTTGGTAAAATGAAATAATTGTCAAATTATCATGAAATTGTTTGCCAATTAGGAATTTTAAACAATTAACTTTTCGAAAACTCCAATGATTTTAAGTATTTGAAATTATTGTTAAAAATATTTTCGATTCTAGAATGGGGTGTTTTTCTCCAACCAANTGTTTTAGATCCCGAAGGTAAGTTTAGTTATTAGTAAAGTCAAAACACTGGTTGGACGTGCACCTCCACTCCAGAGTCGATCCCTACATTTTCCTGTTTACGAACAGTAACCTAATCCAGATCGTATTCGTCTTCCTCTCTATAATCTTGTTTCTGCTTCTACTATGTCTCCAATTAACCTTTAAGGTCTCGGAATTATGTTATATTACCCAATGCAATCATTCTTGGTATCCAAGAGTTAGAGTTAGAGAAAGCTTTAAATACAATGGAAGCGGTATTGACAAAAAAGTATTGTATGAGACCAGAAATACTGGTATGCAAGGGAAGAACAAGTAGGGAAAGAGTAAATATAAAGATAAGAGACGAAAAATTAGAAGAAGTGGTGGTTTTAGGTATCTAGGAAGTCAGTTAAGCAAGGACGGAAGGAGTAGTAGGGATATAAAGCAGAGGATAGCGCAGGGTCGAGACGCCTTCAATAAAAGGAAGGCACTTCTATGCTCTCGAACGGATAATTTAGAAATTCGAAAGAAATTGTAAAAGGTGTATGTTTGGAGCACGGCGCTCTACGGGTGCGAAACATGGACGGTGGACGTGACGGAAAAGGAAAGTTTAGAAGCGTTCGAAATGTGGTGTTATAGGCGGATGATGAGGATAGAGAAGGTTAGAAATAAAGAGATATTAGAAAGAATAGGAGAACAGAGGACTATGGAAGTCAATAAGAAATAGGCGAGATAGGTTGGTACGACACCTTTCCAGGCATGAAGGTCTTGTCAGAGACATATTAGAGACAGAAACAGGAGTTAGGAAGAGTAGAGGGAAAGATTTGGGGAAATGCGAAGATTAGCTCAGGATCGGAAAGAGTGGAGGTGCGTGTCCTACCAGTCTTAGGACTGACGACCTTATGATGATGATGATTATGATGAACCAATAATTGCAATATCAAAATTAAATATGGGTTTTAGGTACATCAATTCCTGCTGAAAAGGTTCCTTTAGCTGAAGCAATCTTTAATATTCCTGGCAGACAAAGTATTGCTAGCCACGAGTTACTGTTTTTGGCTGAGAATCTACCTCCGCTAGGTTTCAAAAGCTTCTATGTTTCCAAAACTGAACAACAGTCTCACAAAATCCCAAAAAAGTATAAATCAAATGTAAGATATCTGTTTTACAAAATTTTCCAATTGCTATTTGTTTTTATTCAAATTTAGATTCATAAAATTGCCAATGGCGATATTGAAATTTACAAGGGCGAAGTGGGGTTTTCTTATAGTGAGGAAACAGGTCTTTTAACTGGAATCAACATGAATGACAATTATATACCAATGAAGCAACAATTTTTCTACTATGAAGGCTCGTTAGATTATTACAGCTCTTCAGGAGCTTACGTATTCCACCCCATTGAAAATGATTTCAACGTCATTACTGATAATCCAATAGTGGAAGAATACGAAGGAAATTTAGTTTCGGAAATCCAGCAAATGTTTAACGATTGGATCAGTCAAACGATTCGCGTCTACAAGAACGAAAACTATGTTGAATTCGATTGGATAGTTGGACCGATTCCCAACATGTACGAATATGATTCTATTTAATAATATACGATATACAAATGTATTTATTATTGAATATTTGTTTTTGTTTGTTTATAGTACTTCGTACGAAGTTCTCGGAAAAGAAATTATCACACGATACACGACAAACATGAAAACCGACTCCGTTTTCTACACCGATTCTAATGGACGTGAAATTATGAAAAGGGTAAGAGATTTCAGACCGAGTTGGAATTTCAGTATCGATGAATACATTTCTTCCAACTATTATCCTATTACGTCAAAAATATTGATACGAGACGAGAAGAACGATTTGGAAGTGGCAGTCCTTACAGATAGAGGTCAAAGTGGAACCAGTTTAAATGATGGAGAAGTTGAACTTATGGTAAGGAATTTTCTATGTCAATCATGAAGAAAATTTCTATTAATAAACAATTTTAAAGCTCCACAGGGAGAGTAAAGTAGACGATGGCCTGGGTGTGGAAGAAGAATTACAGGAATTGGCGTACGGGGTGGGGCTTGTGGTGAGAGGGTCACATTATGTTAATTCTGGTTCTTTTATTAACACACGCAGTAAGTCTTAGTCACCCCAAGAGAATTGTAATTTTGTATTTCGCGTTACCAAAAATGCAACTCTGTTACTGTTTCTGATATGTCTCTAACTAACCCTGCATCATCCCTGAGAAGGTGTCCTACTAACCTATCTCGTCTATTTCTTATTGATTTTCATAGAGTCCTTTGTTCTCCTATTCTTTCTAATACCTCTTCATTTATAACCTCATCATTTCCGCGCCAGTTACCGTCCATATTTTGCACCCATGCAGCGCCGCGCTCCAGACATGGTGTATGTTTAAAAATATTTTTCGAATTTCTAAATTAACCGTTCGCGATCATAGAAGTGAAACAGGAATTTTATAAATACTAAGACTTTATAAAAACAGTTCTTAATTTACCTAAGATTCGACCTATTAATTATTTACCACCTCTTGTCTTTGTCTACTTTAGGAGGTGATAGTCCTACCTATCAACAAAAAGATATTGCACAGCGAAAACTGTTATCGGCTTGGACATTCTTGTCTCCAACAAATCACCTTTCTTTCGAGGATTACAAAGCGAAACATACCTTACAGTTTGAGGGTTTAACTAGATCTCTACCTGCAAATGTTCAAATTCTTACTTTAGAACCTTGGACGGAAACGTCTTTCCTTCTTAGATTAGAGCACGTTTACGAAATAAACGAACATCCTGATTGGTCCACGACAGCAACAGTAGATTTCAATGTAAGTTAATATCATTAAAAAAAACAAAAAAATAATAGTACAAGAACTAGGATTGTCTTGTGGTTTGTTAGTTGTCGTTTCCGAGAACATTTGAATTTTTGGTTAAAACATAAGGAGCAAGGGTTATAAGGAACAAAAATTAAGTAACAATCGGCTATAATGAGAACTAGTACATTCTTGTATAATGAACACCCGGCTACAGCGAACGAAACCCTTATCGTTAGCTAATTACAAAACATTCATTAATTCTTTTAGGATCTCTTTACGACATTTGAAATAATATCAATCAGAGAAACAACGCTGGGGGCTAATCAAGGGTTAGATGAACACGAACGTCTATATTTTAAGCCGGACAAGGAAACTGTTGAAGAGAAAGTTCATGGAGGTAGTCACGATCCAGAATGGAAAATATGGAAGAAAAAATCTAAAGTCTACTCATACACTGTAAAAGAGGAGGAAGATGAAGAATATTCCATTGAACGCTTAGAAGAATTAAAAATACAATTGAAACCAATGCAAATAAGAACATTCATTATTGACATCCAAATAAAATAATTCACAATATCTTTTTTAAATAATAATAATAATAATAAAAGAAAACTTTCATCAGAGACATTATCGTTTCCACTTAAGAAAAAACCTTCCCGTAACTATTTAACAACGTAGGCTTTCACGACCGGAATCCGTGTCAATCGCTCACGCTGAAGATGTCAGGCTCATTTTACGACGAAACGTGTCTGGACTATAACAGTTGATTTATTTAGCCCAAATGATAACAAATAAAAGATTATTTTAACGAAAAGAGATTTCAATTTAAAGGTCAACCTTTTTAAATAATGATTTCTTGTTTATCAGATGGCACATTTGATCGTATTAAATTTCNCAGTTTATTTATGATAACAAATAAAAGATTATTTTAACGAAAAGAGATTTCAATTTAAAGGTCAACCTTTTTAAATAATGATTTCTTGTTTATCAGATGGCACATCTGATCGTATTAAATTTCACGGTAATCAGTTTATCTAGTTTTTAAGCACATTACAGGGTTTTTCACAATCGATGTAACATTCTTCCTTTAATATTTGTATGACACGTCCTTGGCACACGTAACAATGACGAAGGTTGGTCATATGTGTTTTAATACGATGATTTGAATTGAACAATTTTATTTTAACTACACAAAGCTTTCGATTGTATAATAACATTTATTAGATATATATGTATCCCCATAATTTTATTGTTATAATAATATTGTCTACAGTTTTTATCCACCCCAAGTCATCGTGAGAGTGAGGCACTAAATGTACGTTTATATATCCCTCTTTAATAGGATTGCAACTCTGAAATGTTAATAATTCTTAGGTATAAAAGCTATCTTTGACCATTTTAATCATCAAAACAAGTACAATTCTCAAGCCTCAAAACGTTTATTTTTCGACGTATAGTCGTCACCGATAAGAGTAACTTTCTACTTTCCTCGATTCAAGACTTGATAGCTGCCTGCGCTGCAATGATTATCCCTGAGATTTCTTGAACAGAGGAGAAAATAAAAATCGCAGTATGCAAGATCGGGAGAGTAAGGAAGGTGTGAAATCGGTTCAAACTTTACGTGAATTCGATTCCCTCGATGTTTACTTTTTTATGAACCTTGAGAGGTCTCCGAAATAATTATTACATCTAGGACTATAAAGTGAATGCAGCTGCTATCAAGATCTGGATTCGAGAAAAGTTCCAATGTCCCAAAGTCCCATGTCCCTACGATATTGCTAGCAAATACTTAAGGACATGGGATGTTTTAAGAAAATGCGAAGACGGGCTAAAGATATGAAGACGTTGAGTTACGTATCAAGCTAGTCTCTGACTGACGATGTTTTGTGATGATGATGATAATTAAAAATTGATTCTCTGCAGTGTACTTAAAAAATGTATTACAGATTAATAATCTTATTAGAATACAAAGGAATAAGGTAATTATGTCTTTACGATTACATATCTTTAAATCTTCTTATTATACTTGCTTGCAAAATTGATGTTTATTTCAGGAGATAAGTTATCGTTTTTCGTAGAAATATCTTGATTAGTGAGTTCAATTATTGCTTATAGGTCGGCTAAAGTTTAGTGTATATTTTTTCTAACACAAAATAAATCCCAAAAAAACAATTTTCAGTTGTAACAGGTTGGTCCAATGCTTAATAAGAAACAATTGTGAAATTATCATCAAATTGTTTGCAAATTACGAATTTTAAACAATTAACTTTTCGAAAACTCCAATGATTTGAAGTATTTGAAATTATTGTTAAAAATATTTTCGATTCTAGAATGGGGTGTTTTTCTCCAACCAACAATTTGTTGTTTATTCTTTCGGCGATTTCCTTCATCTTATCCCTACCAATAGAAGAAGAGACCCATTCATGTGGATACAAAGTGAGTTCCTTTGTTCCAATTGTTCCAAATCTAAGTTATTTCTTTATTGTTATATATCTGTGCGAAAAATTTCATCATTTAAATTTTTTAACCGACGAAGTTATGGAAAACCGATTCTGAAGATAGTTTTCAATATTTCTGATTCGAATTCAAATATACATATATATTTTCGATTGTTTAAAAATATTACTACAATGAAAAGCGTAGAAAATATACACTTTCAAAAATTACGATTTGAATAACATCTGCTATATAGATGCAGTTACTAATTCTCCCCCAAGGGTACTTATGGAGTAAAGGTTTCTTTTTTCCTTTACAATAGTAATAAAAGATTCCTTTACTGTATATTTACTGTTGATGTTTTTAGTCCTGAAGAAATCTGTTCACCTTAAGGTGAAACGTTGGCACTTGATTATATTTTATATTTTAATTAGAGAAAGTTTCACTCCATAATTACTTGTTTTTTATTTACCATATGACATCGATAGTTTAGAAAAATGTTTAATTTTACATGTGATTTACAATAACAATCATTTGAAATCATGCGATCACATTTACTTTTTAATGAAATCTGATCAGTGAACTTTTTTTATACTTGCACAATCGTTTCTTATAATTTTACGTACTTCAACAAAAAAAAAAATAATTTGATATGCTCAAGGTACTGTAGAATATATCTCGGAAAATGGTAGTACATGTAATAATAATTGTTAATTTACTTTTTTTTTTGAGGATTAAAGTCGAATTATATCTACAGACGCTCGGCTCACGTTCGCTATTATTAGTGAATACCTGTAGATAATTTTTATTATCATTTTATTATTAATATTATTATTTAAAATAACCACACAAATATCCATGAAAATTTAAATATTAATTAAATCGTATGACACACTAAATCATATATTGCACAATTTTCGTTGCTGGGAGGCAATTTAATGTCTGTACACAAGTGTGGTTTAAATCATAGTGGTACCTACTTAAAATTAAAATTAATTAATAATAAGATAATGCATTTAATATTTCTTTTGCGTCTCTCATGTTACGCCAACCTTTCTTTTTTCCATAACTCCTACAAATTCATGTCAATAAATTTCACCGTATGATACCATCTACGTACGAGCACAGGCCGAGATTCTAATTACAGAACGCCAACAAAAGTAAATACGAAGATGGCGCAAAAAAATTTTTCATTCCGTTCACCTCATAGTTCGAGATGTAATTATTATTTTCAAGGTCTGAGAAGAAAAGCAAAAATCGAAGGAGTTTAGTTCATGTCAAGTTTGAACCGATTTCACATCTTCCTTACTCTCCCGATCTTGCGCCTTGTGATTTTTATTTTTTTCCTCTATTCAAAAGAACTCAAATCGTTACAGCGCAGGCACCTACCAAGTCCTGAATCGAGGAAAATAGAAAGAATTATTCAGTAACCGAATAAAAAAAATTATTACACGTTGATAGAAACTTCTTACTCTTAACGAAGACTATACGTCGAAAAATAAAAGTGTTTTGAAGCTTTTGTACTTGTTTTGATAATTAAAATTGTCAAAGATAGCTTTTACCCCTAAGAATTATTAAAATTTTAGAGTTGCAATCCTATTAAAGAGGGATATATAAACGTACATTTAGTGCCTCACTCTCACGACGACGTGGGGTGGATAAAAACTGTAGACGAATATTACTACGGCAGTAAGTATACCATTAATAAAATTATACGGATAAATATATGCATACCTAATAAAAGTTATCACAATTGAAAGCATTGTATACTTAAAATAAAATTGTTTAATTCAAGTTAATGTAATATTTTAAACGTTTTTGTTAAGTTTATGCCTGTTTATGATTTAATTACATTAATGAGTTCCATATCTTTGGTGAGTAATAGAAAACTACAGAAAAAGAATTGATAACATTTTTGAGACGAATTTTAATTATCAATTATACTAACTGTTATAGTTAATTTTAGCTAAGAATTATGTTCATAAATCTTCAGTACGGGATATTATCAATTCTGTAATTGATACACTGGGAAAGGATCCTTCTAGGAGGTAATATCATCAAATCAAAACTTTTGTGATAAAATATTTCTTACAAATTTGAATAGAAGAAACTGGATTTCTGGATACTAACCATGCAAAATTGATGAAACCCCCATGACGGATAGTTGTATCGTCAAAAGTGTTTTATCTCCTATCATAAGGGACATCTCCACGAAATTCACGTTGTTAATGCAGGATCTCCAACGCCATTACTGAATAGTTCAACTTGGTCAGTCATGGGAATTTCATCAATAATAGTCAGGAAATCCAGTCTAAATCTAAGCCTAAATCAACTTCTACATTTAAATAGGTTCATTTACGTGGAAATGGCTTATTTGTGGAAATGGTGGCTGGAACAAAATGACGATAGAAGAGCCTTAATTAAAAAATTCATCAACAACGGTCAATTGGAAATAATCGGGGGAGCCTGGAGTATGAACGATGAGGCGATCACTCATTACCAATCAATAATTGATCAATTTACATGGGGGTTGAAGTAACTTAGACGATAATACCTTAAAGTATCTTACAGTTTCGAAATATATATTTTTAGAAAGTTGAATGATATCTTTGGAAAGTGTGGTCGCCCAAAAATAGGTTGGCAAATTGATCCATTTGGACACAGCAACGAAATGGCTTCGATCTTTGCACAGTTGGGTTTCGACGGACTATTTCTTGGACGAATTGATCATCAAGATAAAGAATACAAGTTTAATTCGTCAACAGCAGAAATCGTCTGGAGAAGTAGCGCAAGTCTAGGTATTTATCTATCTATATGATGAAAAAGTTCTCTCACAGATCCTAATTGCCAACCGTATGACAAAAAACAATTCGAAAATAATACTATGTACTAAGCATAGCACAATAATACAATACACATTTTTAGAAACGCAAAGCGATATATTTACCAGCGTGTTATATAATTTATACCAACCTCCTACGGGATTTTGTTTTGACAGCGTCTTCTGTTATGATTCAATAAATGATCAGGACGAAACTGATTTGGATTACAACGTGAAAGAAATGGTATATGACGTGTCATTTATTAATAAACATCCGCAAAAGAATAACGTATTTTTTACAACCTTCAGGTTATCAACTTCCTCAAGTATGTACAAGACATGCATAAAGTCTATCGTACCGATAATCTGTTGGTAACAATGGGAGGCGATTTTAATTATCAGGAAGCCAGTAGTTCTTTTGAAAACATGGACAAACTTATTAAGTAAGCAAACACTTTTGGTGTATAGACGTTTAGATTGTGTACGGCAGCGGCGGATCTAGAATGGAAATGGAGAATTCTCTTCGCTCCAAAGCTTTATGAATTTGGCTTACACGTTTTTACAGAGTATTCTATTTGGTCTTCAAGGTTTTCAAAGAGAATGATTAACAATGAACTGTTTTTGTTGACATTTAAGATTCTGATTTGACTTGATTTGAAGATTTAGACTTTCAAAGTCCTTTTTCTTGAGCTATTGAACATTACCAACAGAAGAACTTTTTATGATGCCATACATGAAATAATTTTGCAAACCCCATCATCACCAAAAGATTTGTTTTTTTATAAATTTTCAATCACAGTCAATATACATTAATTTGTCTTTATATAATTTAAGGTACGTCAATCAGGAACAAAGTGAAGGTTCTAAATATAATTTACTGTATTCAACTCCATCGTGTTATTTGAAAGCTGTACACGAAGAGTCCGAAAAAAGAGATTTGAAATGGTTAGTTCAGACGACTGATTTTTTCCCCTATGCTTCCGAAGTAAATAGATATTGGACTGGATATTATACCTCTCGTCCAACATTAAAACGTTTCGAAAGAGATGGCAACAACTTCTTGCAGGTTAGAATAACACACTAACATCAATATGTCTAATTTTCTACAGATAGAACTTACAGTAAGTAGGTAGTACTTTTATTATTTGAAATGATAGGTTTGTAAGCAACTGGCAGCACTATCAGACGTAGATCAAGATGTGAAAGACAATGTAGACGTCCTAAGGAAAGCAATGGGTGTCATGCAACACCACGATGCCATAACGGGAACTGAACAGCAAGTCGTTGCAAAAGATTATGCCCGAATTTTGTCCGAAGGATTCGACAAGTGTTCAATGGTCACATCAGCTGCTTTAAAGTACCTAACATCACATAAATCACATAACATAGTTTTATCAAAGGTCTTACTACATCTCTTATTGCAGTAAATTATCGATTGATCCAAATTTAGATCTCGAAGCTACTGAATATTTCTACGGGTGTCGTTTCAACATTAGTCAATGTTCATTCACTGAAACTCAAGACAGTTTTGTGGTGACTGTGTACAATCCGTTAAGTCGTCGTGTAAATCATTACGTTCGGTTACCTATAGTTAACGCTGAATTCGATGTTTTAGATCCCGAAGGTAAGTTTAGTTATTAGTAAAGTCAAAACACTGGTTGGACGTGCACCTCCACTCCAGAGTCGATCCCTACATTTTCCTATTTACGAACAGTAACCTAATCCAGATCGTATTCGTCTTCCTCTCTATAATCTTGTTTCTGCTTCTACTATGTCTCCAATTAACCTTTAAGGTCTCGGAATTATGTTATATTACCCAATGCAATCATTCTTGGTATCCACGAGTTAGAGTTAGAGAAAGCTTTAAATACAATGGAAGCGGTATTGACAAAAAAGTATTGTATGAGACCATGAATACTNCACATAAATCACATAACATAGTTTTATCAAAGGTCTTACTACATCTCTTCTTACAGTAAATTGTCGATTGATCCAAATTTAGATCTCGAAGCTACTGAATATTTCTACGGGTGTCGTTTCAACATTAGTCAATGTTCATTCACTGAAACTCAAGACAGTTTTGTGGTGACTGTGTACAATCCGTTAAGTCGTCGTGTAAATCATTACGTTCGGTTACCTATAGTTAACGCTGAATTCGATGTTTTAGATCCCGAAGGTAAGTTTAGTTATTAGTAAAGTCAAAAGACTGGTTGGACGTGCACCTCCACTCCAGAGTCGATCCCTACATTTTCCTATTTACGAACAGTAACCTAATCCAGATCTTATTCGTCTGACTATAATGTTGTTATAAAAGGAAATCACTTCTATTCTCGCGAACGGTTAATTTGGAAATTGGAAGAAGATTGTAAAAGGTGTATGCCTGGAGCGCGGCGCTGTACGGGTGCGAAACATGGGCGGTGGGCGTGGCGGAAAAAAAAGTTTAGAAGCGTTCAAAATGTGGTGTGATAGGCCAATGATGAGGACATCGTGGATAGAGAAGGTTAGAAACAAAGAGATATTAGAAATAATAGGAGAACAGAGGACTCTACGGAAGTAAATAAAAAATAGGCGAGGTAGGTTGGTAGGACACCTTCTCAGGCATGAAGGTCTAGTCAGAGACATATTAATGCAAAGATTAACTCAGAATAGGAAAGAGTGGAGGTGCGTGTCCAACCAGTCTTAGGACTGACGACCTTATGACAATGATGATTATAATGAACCAATAGTTACAATATCAAAATAAAATATGGGTTTTAGGTACATCAATTCCTGCTGAAAAGGTTCCTATTTATTTTTGTTTTGTTCGTTTATAGTACTTCGTACGAAGTTCTCGGAAAAGAAATTATCACACGATACACGACAAACATGAAAACCGACTCCGTTTTCTACACTGATTCTAATGGACGTGAAATTATGAAAAGGGTAAGAGATTTCAGACCGAGTTGGAATTTCAGTATCGATGAATACATTTCTTCCAACTATTATCCTATTACGTCAAAAATATTGATACGAGACGAGAAGAACGATTTGGAAGTGGCAGTCCTTACAGATAGAGGTCAAAGTGGAACCAGTTTAAATGACGGAGAAGTTGAACTTATGGTAAGGAATTTTCTATGTCAATCATGAAGAAAATTTCTATTAATAAACAATTTTAAAGCTCCACAGGGAGAGTAAAGTAGACGATGGCCTGGGTGTGGAAGAAGAATTACAGGAATTGGCGTACGGGGTGGGGCTTGTGGTGAGAGGGTCACATTATGTTAATTCTGGTTCTTTTATTAACACACGCAGTAAGTCTTAGTCACCCCAAGAGAATTGTAATTTTGTATTTCGCGTTACCAAAAATGCAACTCTGTTACTGTTTCTGATATGTCTCTAACTAACCCTGCATCATCCCTGAGAAGGTGTCCTACTAACCTATCTCGTCTATTTCTTATTGATTTTCATAGAGTCCTTTGTTCTCCTATTCTTTCTAATACCTCTTCATTTATAACCTCATCATTTCCGCGCCAGTTACCGTCCATATTTTGCACCCATGCAGCGCCGCGCTCCAGACATGGTGTATGTTTAAAAATATTTTTCGAATTTCTAAATTAACCGTTCGCGATCATAGAAGTGAAACAGGAATTTTATGAATACTAAGACTTTATAAAAACAGTTCTTAATTTACCTAAGATTCGACCTATTAATTATTTACCACCTCTTGTCTTTGTCTACTTTAGGAGGTGATAGTCCTACCTATCAACAAAAAGATATTGCACAGCGAAAACTGTTATCGGCTTGGACATTCTTGTCTCCAACAAATCACCTTTCTTTCGAGGATTACAAAGCGAAACATACCTTACAGTTTGAGGGTTTAACTAGATCTCTACCTGCAAATGTTCAAATTCTTACTTTAGAACCTTGGACGGAAACGTCTTTCCTTCTTAGATTAGAGCACGTTTACGAAATAAACGAACATCCTGATTGGTCCACGACAGCAACAGTAGATTTCAATGTAAGTTAATATCATTAAAAAAAACAAAAAAATAATAGTACAAGAACTAGGATTGTCTTGTGGTTTGTTAGTTGTCGTTTCCGAGAACATTTGAATTTTTGGTTAAAACATAAGGAGCAAGGGTTATAAGGAACAAAAATTAAGTAACAATCGGCTATAATGAGAACTAGTACATTCTTGTATAATGAACACCCGGCTACAGCGAACGAAACCCTTATCGTTAGCTAATTACAAAACATTCATTAATTCTTTTAGGATCTCTTTACGACATTTGAAATAATATCAATCAGAGAAACAACGCTGGGGGCTAATCAAGGGTTAGATGAACACGAACGTCTATATTTTAAGCCGGACAAGGAAACTGTTGAAGAGAAAGTTCATGGAGGTAGTCACGATCCAGAATGGAAAATATGGAAGAAAAAATCTAAAGTCTACTCATACACTGTAAAAGAGGAGGAAGATGAAGAATATTCCATTGAACGCTTAGAAGAATTAAAAATACAATTGAAACCAATGCAAATAAGAACATTCATTATTGACATCCAAATAAAATAATTCACAATATCTTTTTTAAATAATAATAATAATAATAAAAGAAAACTTTCATCAGAGACATTATCGTTTCCACTTAAGAAAAAACCTTCCCGTAACTATTTAACAACGTAGGCTTTCACGGCCGGAATCCGTGTCAATCGCTCACGCTGAAGATGTCAGGCTCATTTTACGACGAAACGTGTCTGGACTATAACAGTTGATTTATTTAGCCCAAATGATAACAAATAAAAGATTATTTTAACGAAAAGAGATTTCAATTTAAAGGTCAACCTTTTTAAATAATGATTTCTTGTTTATCAGATGGCACATCTGATCGTATTAAATTTCACGGTAATCAGTTAATCTTGTTTTTAAGCATATTACAGGGTTTTTCACAATCGACGTAACATTTTTCCTTTAATATTTGTATGGCTCGTCCTTGACACACGTGACCGTGACGAATGTTGGTCGTCGTGTTTTAATGCGATATACAGAAAATGCATGAAATTGCCCGTTTATTTTATGCTGATAAAGGTGCAAACCTGTTGATTAACAACGATCAGGTTTATTTACATTAACAGTAGATGCTGCAATTTTCGACTTAAATATCGAAAAAAACAATCTTTATGTCGATTACGTGACTAGGTGACAAAACGGTTGTTTTTTATGACAACTGTTATTAAAAAAATAAACAAAATATTTTAAACGAAAACTCACGGAAATTTTCAATTTGAAATATAATTAGAAATTCTCTAAAACTTGTGGAGGCTTATGAACAGTCCGAATCATGACTTTGTTAGATTTGGTTGATATCATTTTAGGCAACCAAACGTTGCGCGCGGCGATGCTTTTTCATAATTTAATAAAGATTATTATATTACGTATTTCTGCTAGATAAGAAAATAGTCGAGGACATTAAACTACAAAGAACAAACATAGATCAGTAGTTCATTTAGTTTACCTAATAACAATAACTAGGCGTTAAGAAACAACCTTTTCCGAAGACGTAAGAATTAAATACTATTTTTAATTATACTATACCTCGCTATAGACCAGTAAAATCACACACAAACGTACGTATGTATAAGAAAAAATTGCAAAAGTTGCAAATTGATCTAGATTTTATAACTACTAACAAACGGCTCGGCGATTTATTATAATAAAATTTTGTAGATTCTACATAATGGTGCAGCGAACGAAGGTCTTTGTTGGAAACATTGTTCATTGTAATAAGCCATTTACTGTGCAAACGTTAGAGAAAGGTTTTGTCGTTGTTAATGAAAAAGGAAAGGTAAGTGTAAATCGTGTGGAATAAGTGCGCATGTGCTGAAGTTAACTAAAACTGCGTTGTCGGTGTTGCCAATTCTAATATACTTAATGCTGCAATGTAAGATATCCTTTTTTGAATAATTTTTCCCGAATTTTTCTCTCATCATAATTAATTTTAAAGAACGATTTTCTAAAATGATTAATAAACAGATAATAATTGGAAATTCATTAATTTCCTTTTTTTTTATTTCATTGCTAGATAATTGCTGTAGACAACTTAAGCGCCTTGGACAGTTGCAAGGATAAACTAGGATCTTTTGAAGAAATTCTTTTGAATGACAATCAGCTTCTTATGCCTGGATTTGTGGATACTCATTTTCATGCACCCCAATACCCTAACGCCGGTTTAGGGTACGATAAACCCCTTTTGGACTGGCTACAAACTTACACATACCCTTTAGAGAAAAAATATAGCGATACAGAGTTTGCTAAAACCGTATATGACGCTGTGGTGGTAAGAAACACGTCCCTAAATTAATTCATTTGAAAACCACAAGGATGTTTAATCATTTATATGCATAATAATGTTTGCATGTTTCTTAAACTCTCAGTTGACTGCGGAAAAACAGTCGAAAGTCGCACTTTCCATTCAAAAATTATAGAAAACCGGCAAGTTGGAACTAAACAATTGCAAATAAGTGGACGGGTTTATATATATATATATATATATTCGGGTGTACAGTTGGTTTCGTATATGTACATTTTATACATTTTTAATGCTTGACGTTTAAAGTATAGATTGTAGAATTATTTAAAATGTCGTCAATTTTAAAACGTAAATCCTGTGCATCATCAATGCCCACTAGTCAAATTCGATAGGGACACGGTTAATATTATGATATAATAAAGTGGTTTTGTTTATGTATTATAGAAGCGAACTCTTGCAGCAGGTTCAACAACAGTCAGTTATTTTGCTACACTTCATTTAGACAGCAGTTTATTATTGGCGGAGGCAGCTATCAAATTTGGCCAAAGAGCTTTCATAGGAAAGGTCAATATGACAGAATTGGCTCCGCCGGATTATGTCGAAAGTCCAGAAGATACGATTTCGAATACCTTAGAATTCATTCATAAACTCGTTGCTAAAAAGGTACCTTCAAAACTACATTGATTTAAAAACGACCAAATTTGTTCACAAGCTATCTCTTTGCAGTGCCACCTAGTGCAGCCTATTGTTACCCCAAGATTTGCCTTAAGTCTTGACCTGAACGATCTGAACAAGTTGGGACAAATTGCCAACAAATTTGACTTAAATATACAAGTAAGTTTAAGTTCCGCTTTTTGAATATTTTTTGATAAAAAAAATGTTTTGGAGTATACTGGAAGCAACATTTAATTAAATGATTGTTTCAGTACATTTTTTATTACCACCTAAGAGCCATAAACTTTAAAAGGCAATTCTAAAGTTAATTAAGTTTAACGGTTCTCTTAGTATTCCTATTGATAATTGTCTAAACATTTTTCCAATAATTACTTGTTACGGTTATTTTAGAGTCACATTTCGGAAAACAAAGCTGAAGTAGAAATGGTTCGTGACAAATTCGATGACTTACTATACGCCGAAGTTTATGATAAGACTTCGTTGCTGACAAATAAGGTACCTATTCAAATTAAACCAGTAAACCACATTAAAAAAAAAAACTCACTATTCATTTGACCATTTTAAAAGACTGTTTTAGCACACGCAATTTATTTGACCGATTCGGAAATAGAATTGCTTGCGGAAAGGAGCACCTCTGTATCTCATTGTCCTGACTCAAACACCTGTTTAAAGTCGGGACTATGCGATGTTAAGAAACTCTTAAAAGCTGGAGTTAATGTCGGTTTAGGAACAGGTACATACTATACTACGGCCATTGTAATTTAGATATTAGGCTAATGGGGATATTTTTTCGTATTCAGACATTTCTGGTGGATATTCAACGTCAATAATGAACGCGATGCGTTCAGCAGTTGCGGTATCAACTCATGTGTCTTTTGAGAGGGAAGACTATGATCCTTTAAATGTATATGACGTGTTTTATTTAGCAACAATGGGGGGAGCAAAAGGTAATCATTGCTGCAGTAAAATTTTTATATATAATAGTTTAGACGTTCAAAATTCGCATAGTCCGCAATAAAATTGTCGCATTTACTTTCTTCTTTTATCTTATTAACTAGAGTAGAACGATTGCTGACAGAACGACTGTTTTTACTCACGAAAATATCTTAAATATAGAAAGGAGATGTCAGATAGGAATTGCAGCGGACACTAATAAAAGAAAAGGAATCACATTGCACCAATTGATGTGTGACAGAAAGAGATGCAGACAAACAGTATTTGTGCATGTTTCCAGCATCGGACTGTTTCTACTCACAACAATATCTTAAACATAGAAAAGAGATGTCAGATAGGAATTGCAGCGGACACTAATAAAGAAAAAGGAATAACATTGTACCAATTGATGTGTAACAGAAAGAGATGTGCAGACAAACAGTGTTTGTGCATGTTGCAAGCATCGGACTTTGAAGAAATTTCAACATTCTCAAGAATTTAAGAAAGCAAAGATATTTGTTGAAAGATATAATTCCAACCAAGCAAATATAACGCCTATTCGGATCTTTTGCGTACCTAAGCAACCTCTAACCGCCATACCGCTTACTGTTATATGTTATCTCTTTTCATTTTGTGCGTATTATTCATGAAGCATTTTCTAACTTAACAAGGACGTGTTCAAAACGTAGGAAATTACTCTCACTGATAATTTATTGGGGACTATGCCAATTTTGATCGTATCTACTATATCTAAAGATACTCAATTGCTCTTTCAGCGCTTGCGTTGAACCACAAAATTGGAAACTTCGAAATAGGCAAAGAATTTGATGCGATTGTAGGGGAAGTGCAGGAATGCTTTCATCCCCATACGGCTTTGGAATTACTTCAAAAATTTATTTACACCGGAGACGATAGAAACGTATTACAAGTATATGTTTGCGGAAAGCGTGTTAAATAATATTAAAAACGCAATGTACTTACTTGGTAATTACATAAGACATTATTTTAAGTTTGTACTTTTTTTAAATAAATAATACACACGAGTCTTTGCTTTAGAAGTCTTCAACGTCAACGTCAACATGTTTTGAAAGTCGTCACAGGACTCGATTAAAATTCGAAATCCGAAAATAAATTTAACTTTTCATTATTTCTAATAACTATTTACAATTTGTTGTAAAAAAACGATAGTAATCAACTCCATCCTCATTATAAATAAATTAATGCTTGCAGCAAATTTAGTAGAAATATACATTGATGATAACGATTCCAGTTTGTTATTAAAAAATTAATATTTTAATTAATAACAAAATAAAATTTGTTTTTTTAAACTCGTTGCTACGAATAGCGGCCTCTGTCAGACAGAATATAAAAGCTTCGAATTCATTAAAGCGCGTTTTGAAAGTTTGCTGTAAACCGTAGAGCTTTCGTAGCATTACTTTTTTAGAAATGTTTCAAGATGGCAGATCCAACAACAAAAACAAAAAAAAATATCAAAAATCAGGTAGCGACGTAAATGATAAATTTTCCACTAAACGAGTGGTGCACTACTGCAATTAATGATCAAGCAAAGTTTTAGTTTGCTTATGCAAAAAATCGTTTAGGTAGTGTAATTGTCCAATATTGATTGTTTATTTAAGTTTCTTGTTGCTTCCGCTTATCACACTTTCCTGGTCTAGTATATTTTCCACTGTCTTGCTTCTAACTTCCACTTGTTATTGACTTTTCCTGTTTTTCCACATTTTTTTGGTATGTGCATTGTTTTCTGTTTTTCAATATTCATTTGCCCTTGCTTCATTGCCTATTCTAAATTTTGCAGTAAATTCTTTCTCCTATTGATGTAATTTTCTCTCAAATTTTTCAATTGCAATTCTGTTCATTCGAGGGTGTGATTTCTTTATATCTGTAGTCTCTAGCATATTTAAAGCTTTTCTAATTGCATCTCCTTATGCTTATATTTGATAACTTCTTCTAATTCATTTTTCAAGGATCATCCCTTGTCTTTCAAGAATTATTTTCCGTTTTTCTTCAATTGTTATTTTGCTGTATTTAAACTCCAAAAGTAAGATGTAGTTTGACGTATTTTAATTTAAAAGTTCAGCGTTAATTTTACATACTTTTGGGCAAGTGCTGCCTTTTGCAACCCTTTTCTATGTACTTCAGGGACGTAGCCATCCTTTTTGCCACGTGAACCAACCAAGTGCGGCCCATAACGTTACCTACGTTTTACGTATATATATGATTATTAGAAAATTGTTTTTTTTTTTCGTCTTCCATAGTACCCTTATTAATTAACAAATATAAGTAATTAGTAAATGTCAGTCCAGCTGCATCGTCTATATTTTTAAACTAACCTTTTTCTAGTTCAGGTAGACATCTATTAGTAGGCATATTTCCAATGTTTTCTGGTTTATTAATTTACAGAAATGTATTATTAAGACTTTGGGCGACGTTAACGAATAGGTAGGTGTGGATTACGTTTCGGGCATGAACAAGTTATTCCGTTTGTTAGTTTTTCGGCCTACATGTCAGTGGATATGTTGCATGTCACTAGAAATTTAATGATGCACAGTGTATTATTTTGTATGAAGGCGCGTCAGTTTTGAGGTGTCGAGAATACAAACACGAATAAATCTTAAATATCGTCATGCATCACGAACAAACGCTTTCTTTTATTTTAGTCCGACTTCTCGACAGATGACTAATGTGAACATTACCAATATGTACCAACAGAAATATGTCAAACACTGTTTGTTAGCGAAGTCTACTACACATTTTTTATTTTCGGTATTCGCTTTAGTTAAATTTAGAATGCGTAAAATGAGTTACTTTTTCAGACTACCGAAAGAAAAATCGCTTTATTTTAATTCATCACGGATTATAAATAAGGAATTATGAATTCTTTCAGTGAAAATGAACTTTCCATTAAACCAAAAAATCAGATAATTTAAAATTAAAATTCATGCATTTACTGCTTCTAAAATTCAGACAGGTATGGTTATATATAAAAAAAATATAAAAATTTTGATACGAATTATAGTGAAATTAAATGGAAAAATTAAAGGTCAAAAATTATGCAAACATTCTTTTTGTTTTAAAAATTTTTATGATTCACAAATAAACAAAATTCTCGTCCATGTTATCAAATGTGTATTCGGGGAGATGTAACCTGCTGCATCTCCAGGTGATCAGTGGAGAATCAAGTGAAGAATTGAAGCGTTTTTAGAATTTACATTTTCCGATGTTATTTAGGATTAAACGAAGATGCGTGTTCTCAAATGTCTATTATTTTATTTTTTTGTGTTTCATTCCCACCAGCCAGTAATGCTGGTGGGCGGGCAGTCCCTCCGGACTATGCCGGAAGGTAGGGCGGAAGGCCCTCTTCAGCCTGCTTTCAGGAATCGTGGGAATGGGTGGGTGGTGGTTCGGGTGAGAAAGATGAGACGGACGAAATGAAGACAGAAGAGAGTGAAAGATTATCTGTGGAATATTACTGCCTCAGCATTCGCCTAAGTGATCCAAGGAAACCACAGAAAAACTTGGACCAAGGCAGACGGACCCGGAATCGAACCGGCGTCCTCCCGAATGCTAAGCAATGGTCTAGACCTCTAGGCCATGCCGCTCGGTCTCAAATGTCTGTTGGATGAGATGAAATTTGCTGAATCCCTAATAGTTGATCCGTAAAGAACCAAGTAAGAATTGATGGGTGCTTCCACGATCAACATTTGCCTGAACCAAGCCACGTCACAAAAGGAAAATATAATAACATCATTTGTACCCGCTGGTTCTCACCGATCAACTGAGAATTTAGCAAATTTCATATAGAATGCCATTTAAAAACATTTTCGGTAACTTCGATCTAAGTTAACTACAAACAAATATGTGATAAGGATAATTTATACAATTATATACTTATATATACACTTTACAATAATATATGTAGTACTATTTTCTGCACCCTGTAGTTGCTGTACGTCACTGGAACTTTAATTTTCTTACGGGCGTCGTAATCAAGGCGTATAAAACACGAAGGTACCGGCAAGTTTTATGAAATGATTACGCTGAATCAGGATTATTACAAGTATAAAAGTGCAATTGTAAAACAATAAAACGAATAACTAACACAACAACTTTGCACGGACACCGCATTAACCTTTTCAGTTTTTTATTTGTATTTTTTGAACCGAAAGGAATAACTATACGTAGGTATGTACGTACATAAGTAAGAGAGGTTCGGGTTAATTTTTCAACTTTGGTGCAATTACGGCCAAACGAAACGAGTTTAAAATTAATGGATTTTATGAAGAATTAACACCTTCATTTCCTTTCACGTTTCTAATTAGCGTGCGTCGGAAATCCAGCGTTACAACGTTACAAGCACCTACTCCTGATGGCCAGCGTTAATTTTAAAGAACACTTCTTGTGGCTTACCCGGAGCCATGCACGTTTGGCTAATGGTAATTGCTGCGTTTTAACGACTTATACGGCTCTTACACACACACACACACAACATCAAACACTTCCCACATCGTTATCTAAAACGAATGGAAATTAATTTCTGGCACCATTTTTTGCATACCCTTGATGACTTGACTTGTTTATTATACCTAGAAGAATATTATATCTATTTAAAATCGCACTTCTATCACTAGACACCATGTAACCTTAACCTGTAAGGCCGAAGGATACAAAGTTAACAATCACACATAATATATAATATGTTAAAAGATAAAGAGATAAATATGTACATTTGTAATGAAAATCGATGCAACTATTTCCTCATCATCATCATAAGGTTATCAGTCCTAAGACTGGTTGGACACACACCTCCACTTTTCCCTATCCTAATCTTCGCATTTCCCCAAAACTATTAGAACAATCCACATCCTTAACTATTTGTGAACAGTAATCTAATGTAGGCCTACCTCTACCCCTCCTAACTCCCGTTTCTGCCTCTAATACGTCTCTGAATAGACCTTCATGCCTGAGAAGGTGTCCTACTAACCTATCTACTAGCTATCTCCTATATTAATTAAATTAATTAATGCGCCTAGGTCTAAAGTAGGCCGATGAGGGTTTTCAGTATCCCGACTGTTTTAGAATTTTGAGACGCGTGCTGGTGGAGTCCCTAAGTGACTAGCCCACTACCCCTTGTGGGGCCCATGAGTTGAATATTTTTTCATCTCAAAATACACCCAAAAACGGCCCCGATCACCTCATCTATCTTACATTCGAAGCTAAAGTTTTGTTTGGCTAGCCAAATTTTATGAAAAGAAAACTAATAAACTAAATGAGTTATAGATATATGGGACGTAGGGATATAAACCGACGCTTTACGTGGCCGCAGCTGACAATATTGCAGCGTCTTCAGAGATAAGCGACGCGTCGCCGCCGTTTAGATAACTTGCGGGGCAGTTTTCATATCTCGTCCACCAAAGAAATACCTATTTGGAAAAGAACAATATTGGACGAAAGTTTGGCCCAAATGCGGCCATAAAATACACGTGCTTCCACGTCGTTATGGCGGAGAGGTTATCAAATGGGGGAAATTGTGTGTTAATATTCGAACCAAAAACGAAATTACGTTTACGGTTTCTCTTTTTTTTTCACCGACAACATGTGCTCTGTTTTCACCATAAAATATAGAAAATTAAAAAAGATAAGCATTAGTCTAATGCATAACACTAAAGGCTAAATTAATTTAACATATCTACGGGAAAATAAATGGTTAACATCAATAAATATAATTGGAACAACAACTCGATTGCGAAAAGAAATTTTCGGAAAAAACTTATTGGTGAATGTCTAGATGATGGCGGGGTGGGTGGGATCAAAAGAGGAGGACTCCCCCACCACTGTACCATAAAAAGTTCGTGGCGGTCTCACCCCCATAAAAAATTGATTATTTTGACAATTTTCATACACTATAATTCAAGCAAAATTCAATAAAAAAATCTTTTCAAGCGAGTGGAGGTGGGGGATCGTAAGAGGGTGGTCACTTGAACAAAACCCGATAACCTAACCTACCCTATTGATAAAGACATTTA